CCTGTCTGATGATGCACACCAACCTGGTGATAGCATCAGAAACAGAAAGATGTGGCTGTTTTCTGATGTTGATTACAAATGTATTGAAAAAAGTTATCCCTCCTCAAACAAAAGTTATTTATCATAAAAAATCAAATGAAATTTTACAAATAATTGACATTAAGAAATGGAAAAATATATACTTTAATAGCAATAAAGTATGTTCAAGTAAGGATGTTAATGAGGGAAGTCCAACAATACTTAAAAAAAGGTGAAAAGATGTCTTCCTGTCTGCCTATCTTCAACAGGCTGGTCATGAGGTTTGGAGATGTGGAGGATTTGAGAGGCCTTTCCATAAGGTCAGTCATAACATTTGTCTGCTGATTATGCATAAAACTATAATTATAGATTGTACAAAAATCGATATTGTAGATGATAGAAATACTGTTGTCTGAAAAAAAATTTCTTCAGTTAAAAATGACTTGTAAATATTACTTAAGTAGAAGTACAGAGATAATCAAAAGTATTTAGTTACATTCCACAACTTTCTACAGCCATTGAAGCAGCAGCTGTTAGGATAAATGAAGTGTTGTTTCCTCCCCTCTCGCTGATGTCAGGCTGCAGCTGTCCAACACTTTCTACGAGTCTTCGGGTCAGTGGTGGTTCTCGGTGGACAGCGTGTCTGTGCGCTACAACTCCTCTGAGGAGGCAGTGTTCAACGCCAGCGACGTGTATGCTCCGACTTCCTCCTCCTACCACTGCCTGCACGTCAGCAGCCTGCAGCGCTACAGCGCCCTGCTGCTGCCCAGCAGCGAGGATGCTCACCGCTGGAGCCTCACCTTCACCAACTTCCAGGTACCCTCCTTTTAACGGACTCGCTGTCTCAGATTCAAGAGGGTTTGTAACTTTAGATCTTATAAAACTTTAAATACATTTAGTTAGAATCTGAATATTTTATTTCTCCCAGGGGGCGAATAGGTTTCCTGACAGTTGCTCAATTTTAGAATAAAATAAAATTACAAAGATAAAATCAAATATTTATTCAACATATTAAGTTAAAGTCAAAATGTGTAATAAGAAGAAAATGAAGTAAAATCAAATATTTATTTAAACTAAGAAGTTAAAATAAAATGTGTAAGTTGTACTACAATATACAACTATAAATATTTTTACAATACATACCGTGACATATTAGTATTTATTTAGAAATGGATGATGAACAACTTGTATTCGTCGGATAGACAAAAACAGGACTCCAAATGAATTATGATGATGCTGGATATTTATATAAATAACTGTTAAAAATCTCAAAATCAATTATTTACTACTATTATTATTTGAAAATTTAAAAACAGGAATAAAATTTGCTTTTTTGTCAAAAAATACTGCTTTCGGATTTACATACAGAACTAAGTTAATATTATTGCATGCTAATTTCTTCTTTTGTTTGCGTTGTGTGACAATAAATAAGGATAAATAAGAAAGGAACATATACTTTTCTTAATTATTTTCATCCCCTGCACAGATTCAGGCATTCAACATCACCTCCGATAGATTCTCTCCGGCGACCGTCTGCGCCACCTTCATGACGCCGGCCATCCTGATGGGGCTGGTCACTTCCCTCATCCTGCTGCTGGTGCTGGCCTATGCCTTGCACATGGTCATCCACCTGAAACACATCGAGCACGAGGACGAACACAAAGCTGACGTCTACTTCCCCCAAAGCCCAGAACATCCCGAACACTGCTGTGTGGAGAGCGACGCTGAGAAAAATATTCTGTAGTGTAGCGAAGAAGATATTTAGAGACTATTACACTTTAAAAAGAGATAGAGAGCTGATTATAAACTGCTGGTGCAATGGTTTACTTTCAGCTCGGGGTTAGACTTTTTTATATATATATTTATAGTGTTTTTTTATTTGCCTGCTAGTTAATATCTGCATTTGTCTTTATAACAAATTTAATAAAAAAATATAAAAAATCACATTTGGTTCCGATCTGTTTTCTCTACAAAGGACATTTTTCCTTTTAGTTGTTTTTTTTCTGTGCTTGTTGTTACTGAGTGGGAAAAATCACATTTTTAGATGGGCATAGACTTCAAAAGGCTCCTCCAAGTCTCCTACATAGACTGTGTGCAATGTTTTCCTCTTTTGTGTGGTTGTTTTACATCTCATTGTAGATTTGTTTCCGTGGTTGAGTGTCTCTTGTAGTGAATTTGTGTCTTTTTATAGCTGTTTTATGTAGGCTCAGTATTCAGTTATCCCCCATCCATGGTTATATGATTCATTTATCAAAATACAAATCATAACCATATAAATCAAAGAATAAGAATATTGTCAAAGAAAATGTACTGGTGTTATGTCCATCCTGTCTGGTAGGTGGCAGTGGCACGCTTTTAATAAGCCACATTTTACAGAAGAAGAAGACGCTAGGCATGGCCACACAGTCCGGGGTTGCGTTCCGATAATCCAAAAATCAGCTCCTAAATTCTAACCCTATCTCCTATTCCTTGACCTCTGAGTGAAACGTCACAGGGTTAAGGGATAGTGGATAGGAGAATTCAAAAGGATTTAGGAGAAGAGACTGCGGTACTTTAGAGAATCCGAATGCACTTTCACTATCCGACGTGTTTATGATGCGCCAGCGGACGTCATGAATGTGCGTCTGCTGCTGTGGGGAAACTATGGAAACTACAGTTTTCTATACAGCGGACTACAACATGGATGTTTAATAAGAACGAGGGACTACTGTAAACTCATCTAGAGACTCTGCACCGTGCTCTGATGCTGTTGCTTTATGCTTTATGAACGTGGACAACAGAGAAACATATTCTTCATGACCAAAGTTGGAATTGAAATAAAAAAGGAAAGTGAAATGTATGCTCGTCACCCTCTCCCTCCGGTCCACATTTATACAAATGATCCCAATACGTATGATTGTATGAAAATATCTTAAAAGAAATACAAATGTATTTATTATAAACGTTAGTCCTTAACATCTATCACTGTGTATATCACCATTCAAACATATTTTAAAAGTTGAACAAACCCCACACAGCTCAGTGAAATGTTGACTTTATTTGACAATTTCAGTAAAAACTAACGTTCATATTTCTCTTTTTGATTATAATACTGATGAACGTTCAAAACAAAGCACTTTGGCAAGTTACCACTTACGTTTTAAAATGCTTAATAAGCACCGTAACTTTCATGATAGCCTATAGATGAGAGTAACACCAACGTCACTTCTGGGCAAAAATTACGGCACCGCCCACTTTTGGGGGAAAACAACGTTGTCATTTGAATGGCGGTCAATACAAATTCTGAAGTTTTTGCCAATCCGATAAAAAAAAATTGAAAACCGCCGATTTTTGGATCTTCAAAGAGCCCGATTACGATGGCCAGTCAGGCAAACAATTACATTTGATCATTGGTAATCGACAATCGGTCTTGATATATGGTTAAATTAAAATCAGTAGGCGAGGCTGTAGTTTCTCCAGCTGTTACTCTCATGAGCGAGGCGGAACATAATAGTTTTATCATGCCAACAAGCTGCCGTGTCGTTTATTGCACCTCAAACATTAAAAATAATCCACAGTTCAGTTTTTCTGTACTTCCTCTAAGAAGAAAGGACACTAAAAGAAGAGCTCTGTGGCTTCAGGCTCGATCGCCGTTCAAATGACAGCGTTGTTTCCCCCAAAAGTGGGCGGGGCCGTAAAGTGACGTCGATGTTACTCTCATCTATGAAAATCGATAGCCTACTGCTATATTTAACCATATATCGAGCCCGATCGTCGATTTCTAATGGCTTAATGCAATTGTTTGCCTGTCTGGCCATTGGAATCGGGCTCTTTGATGATCCAAAAATCTCCGGTTTTCTTAAATTTCTGATCGGATTGGCAAAAACTTCAGAATTTGTATTGACCGCCGTTCAACTGACAGCGTTATTTTCCCCCAAAAGTGAGCGGAGACGTTATTTTTGCCCGGAAGTGACGCATTTGTTACTCTCATCTATAACTTCTCCGTCATAATTGTTTGTTTCCGTGAACGGCCGACTGTTGTGTGACGTCAAATGCTGCGGCTGCAAGGCATTGTGGGGCAGCATTTTCTCCTCTCCTTTCGGTAAGGGAGGTCCAGTGGTTCCTAAGCTAAAGGAGGTTATAAAGGAAGTTTGAAACCTCATTTCCTTTCATTTAGAGAATTGGAACGGCACTTAACATGGCTGCCACTGACGTACTTCCCATACATCCATGGTACTTCCGGGTCATTTCACTTGGTTAGGAAGGTTCCTAAACTAAATGGACTATTGGAACGCAACCCGGGGTTGCGTTCCGATAATCAAAAAATCAGCTCCTAAATTCTAACCCTATCTCCTATTCCTTGACCTCTGAGTGAAACGTCACGGGGTTAAGGGATAGTGGATAGGAGAATTCAAAAGGACTTAGGAGAAGAGACTGCGGTACTTTAGGCCCAATCCCAAACCACTCCCTCGACCCTACCCCTCCGTGATGGAGTGAACTCCGTCTGTAGCCACACTCGCAGCTCAACGAGGCTCCCTCCTGTCAGATGGAGGGAGTAAATACAGCGGCAAGCTTTGGGACGGCCTCCCCTCTCTCCGGCAGAAACATTTTATTATAAAGTTGTGTATATTTACAGACTGTTGCAAAAACTAAGAAGCTTATAAACATCAGGTTTAAAACTAAAAGAGCTTTGAAACACAATGAAAGATGTTTGGAGTTTTATTTGAGTTATTCATTTAAACTTTTTGTCTAAGATATGGCATCTCTTAGACAAAAAGTTTAGCTGATTTGAAACCGTTGTTACACACAGTTACGGCATTTCCTGTTTCTGCCGGAGAGAGGAGAGGCCGTCCCAAAGCTTGCTGCTGTATTTGCTCCCTCCATCTGACAGGAGGGAGCCTCGTTGAGCTGCGAGTGTGGCTACAGACGGAGTTCACTCCGTCACGGAGGGGTAGGGTCGAGGGAGTGGTTTGGGATTGGGCCATCATCGTGCTTATCACTGAGGGACTTCCGGGTCATTTCACTCGGTTAGGAAGGTTCCTAAGCTAAAGGGACTATTCGACTGCAGCCCAGTTCTTACTATACATCCATGGTCTATGGGCATGACTTACCAGGGAAATAACTGACAGATAACATTGTTTGTGAATATTTAAAAAAATAACATGTTGTTTTAAGCAGGGTTTTATATATCTGAATCCTGTGTGTTGTTTAGTTTTAAATCAGACTGCTGGAGGGTGAATAACACTCGGTGGTGTTCTCTTCTGGTTAGCTTGCTAGTTAGCACCATGGGGTTAGCACTGTGTCGGGCAGTTGTTGACGTCATATAAATAGGGAGCACTCTACTTGTCATTGACGTTACCGGCGTGGGTGATGAATGTTGGTGTAGGTTCAAGTTAATTTAAAATAACGTTAGTGCAGGTTAGCGCCAGTGTCGTTAAACGTCATTGTAGTTTGCCCCGCTGTCCTCTACCTGTCGCTGGTCGTTGACATTACTTAGTTTACCGTCAGTGTAGTTTTCCCTGTTGTCCTCTACCTGCCACCGGGTCTTCATGTTTAACCGCCTCTCCGCTGCTCTCACACTTCTCCCCCGCCGCCTACTGTTCGTCTCTTCACCGAGGACTCTGACCGGAGCCTGCCGCCTCCTCGGCAGGATGAACCCCGCCGTGGTGAGGTGCCTCCCCGGGGAGCCCAAACTCACCATCTCCTTCAGTCTGGACGGCAGCCACAAACACATGTTGCGGGACCAGGATGAGCCGCTGGGAAAGGCCCTGGCCAGGATATCCCACGGCCTCAACAAGAGCCAAGGAAAGGCGAAAAAGTCAAAGAAAAAGAAAGGACAGACGCCGGGTGAAGCCCCTGTGCTCACCGCGGTGAAGCTCTACTACAACGGGGAGGAGGTGTCCGGCATGTCGCTGAATTCGGAGGCGTGGCGGGACGGAGCCGTGCTGGAGGTGGGAGACGTGGAGTACTCTGTCCGTAGGAACACTCCCACCTTGACCAACGCAGAGCTCCCCGCGTCCCTGCTCGCAGAGTTCCCCGTCTGCCCCAACCTGGAGATAGAGTTCGGGAACCTGGAAGACTGCGAGTTCACGTGGTATAGAGAAAATGCCCCAAACACAAGGTAGGAAGAATCCGCTTTATTGGCCAAAACATGTGTGCACATACAAGGGATTTGTTACTTTCAAAGTACTTTTAGATACATAACATTCGTTTGAAGTAACGTCTTTCAGGTAGTATGTTTCGTGATTTTGTTGAGAAAAGGCTCAAAAGCAAAAATAGTCAGAATACTTTGTTGTAATCAAGGTGGGCTACAATTAGTTGAGGCTTACAATGGTTTAGTCTAGGCGACATTGTAGTAGAGGCTTCAGCATGATCCAAACACACACAAATGAACAAGATTACATTTGCAACATCAAACGTAATTTCCTTACAATGCCTTACAAATCCAGCAATGATCAGGCTTTAATCCAATGTCATGTTTACTCCAGTATAGGAGTCAGTTTGTCAAATGATGATGCAAGTATTTATTGTAGACTGACACTACTACCAGCACTGGAAATTGGGTATGTAATCAGACTTGTGCCAATAAGATCAAGCTAAACTTCTGAAAACAAAAGACAGGATCTGAGAGAAAATACAATCCGTGAAGCAAACAAATCTGTTTATTTTATATAATTGGGCAGCATAAGAGAGAGAAGAAAGTCAAAGAAGATATGGAAAAGTCTGCACCTTTTTGTTATTATTTTTCTCTCTGATGTTTTATATCATAGCACTGAAGCTGCGGTAGAAGTTGAAGGTCAGGACAGCGAGTGGACACAGGTAGGATGTGGGAGAGTCCATGTTCCGTCCATTCAGGACATCGGCTACAGGCTCAAACTGCGCTGCACCCCTAAAGATGGAGGACGCAGCGGCCTGCCCAAGGAGCTCCTCTCTACGGCAATAGAGGCCGGACCCGGGGTGTGCACGTTCGACAACAGGCACGCGTACACTCTCAAAGAGGCGGAGTGGCCGTCTGTGAGGGTGGTGTCGTATAACATCCTCGCCGACACCTACGCCCAGACAGAACTGTCCAAGACGGTGCTCTACCCGTACTGCGCCCCTTACGCCCTGCAGCTGGACTACAGGCAGAACCTGATCAAGAAGGAGCTCGCCGGGTACAAGGCTGACATCATCTGTCTGCAGGAGGTGGACAAAGGTAATAACTGGAGAAATAGATAGTTGATAAAAGCTAGCCTCCATCTTTTCTGTACCATCATCTGGTGGATATTTGAGTCTTCTTTATGAAGGGTTGCTACGCTTTCTGGAATTCCTTCAAAACTGTTGCATTTTAATGTTTCAAGGTTTGCGATGTGCTTCAGTTTGCAATTAGCTGCTTAACATTTTTGATTATATCGGATGCCAAGTACACACAGAGAGGTGTCACTCACATTTTACATTTTTGTTGTGTTTACCTTTTTTTAATTGTCACCATTTCGTACTAATACTACCACAAAAATATAACTTAAGTTGTTTATTACAAAAGCATTTAATTTGAACTTGATGAAGGGGTGCAGAAAGTATACTGTGTATATATGATGCATATAAATATGTTATTTACCAAGGTGCAGCAAAATGTTTGAAAGATGCTTGAATTTGTATTTGAGGTTGGAAACCCTGTGTGTGACTTCCTTCATGTTCCCTGGTCTCTTTAGGGGTGTTTGTTAACAGTCTGACTCCAGCCCTCGATGCCTTCGGTCTGGACGGTGTTTTCAGAACCAAAGACAGACAGCATGAAGGACTCGCTACATTCTACCGCAGGTCAGGTCCACCAGCACCTGGACTGAGTTTTTTAAGTTTCTGTTAAAGCCTCGTTCTTTTTTCCAAAACTTAACTTTAGGTATAAATGTGGTGCATCACTTAAAAGCAGGTTGATTGGGATAGGATTGTTACTAAACAGCCCCCTTGGTGAAGAATCTGAGGATAAATGTGAGACCGTAAAAGTCGGGTTGGGGTTGGTACATTGTCCAATACAGTCGCTATACTTGAAGGGGCAAAAGGCTGATCATAACACAGGACTACCCCAACAAAGCTGCAATCTGATCCTTATATTTTCTTAGTGTTTATTTTATATTGTTTTTTTAGATGGTAATAAACCTTTCAATCCTATATTAAGCCACGTAATTAAAAAGTGCATCATTTTGTCTTTTTAGGTCAAAGTTGAAGCTTCTGAGCAGTCATAATATTTCGCTGAGCGAGGCGCTAACCTCTGACCCAATCCACTCTGCGCTGCTGGAGAATCTTTCTGCGAGCACGGCTCTGAAGCGGAACATCCTGAAGAGGTCCACTGTCCTGCAGGTACGGCTGCTCACATGCTGCACCGCCAGAATCATTCAAAAGAGGATTCATACTAGTAGAGTTTTGGGCTTGTAGTCGTTGAGCTCTAATTGGCTTTAGAGCATTGGGTTAGGTAGTTTTGTTAATTCAAATATTTAATAGGCAAATGAATTAATCGAAAGAAAGAAATAAAATCATCAAATCCCCCCCCAAAATGCTGTCAAATGGACACACTGTGGCTGTCTTTGTAAATTGTTGTTGTGACTTGTTTGTTTTCAGGTCAGTGTGCTTGAGGATGTGAGTAAACCTGGCAGGAAGGTCTGCGTGGCAAACACTCACCTGTACTGGCTCCCCAAAGGTAAAACAGCTCACTCCTCTGTATGAACACACCTCATATAAAAGAGCAAGAACACATTTCTAAAAACAAATTACATTTCTCTGAAGGAGGGAGCATCCGCTTGGTCCAGATGGGCGTGGCTCTGCAACACCTGAATCATGTGATCAATGAGGTCGCACCTGGAGCCCCTCTGATCTTTTGTGGAGACTTCAACTCACACCCTGACTCGGGTAAGTCCACAGCAACACCGGTCTCTGCCAGAATTTAATCCAGCCAAAGCACATAGACTTCATTGACTTCATATTGTATTTAAAAGCTGCTGAGTCATTGTTTGTCTCCTCTTCCTGTCTGCAGGTGTTTTCCAGCTGCTCAGCGAGGCTCTTGTTCCTCTGCAGCACGCAGACTGGAGCAGCTTGGGGCCGGAGGAGTCCTGCAGCATGGAGCTGCTCTCTGCCCTCCCCCCTCTGCTGAGCGCCTACGGACAGCCGGCCTACACCAACTACGTGGGAGGATTCCATGGCTGCCTGGACTACATCTTCATACAGCCGGACAGCATGCAGGTACTAGTACTGAAGTCAAGCTAATACTGTCACTTCATTACTGGTAGTGCTGCCAGGGCCACTGATACGAACAGCACTGACAGATTAGTGTGGCAAATACTCAAGTTAGGAGTATACTTGCTGTTGATTTCTGAACTAAGAGGTTGCAATTTACCGATCAAAAAGCAACAATTTAAAACCATTATTTTTATCGCTACACAATCTAACTCTTTACAGGGTCAGAAACACCTTCACTTGAGCACAAGCTGCCCTACGCTCCACATGACACATGCAAATGGGAGTAGATGACGAAAACAAATTGACAAGCTATGATGTTAGCGCAACCACTGTGAAATCAATATTAACATATTATATTGTTGTAAGAGTAGTAGTCCTATGAATAATGTGTGTCATTGCAACTAGTTTGAAACCAAATTCTGGTTGTATACAGAAGTAGGAAACCTTTTTTGTACAAGTTTGAATTTAATTTCCCACTAAAGTAGGGGAGTAGATATAATAACAGTATCTGTGTTTTTGCAGGTGGAGCAGGTGATTCCTCTGCCCAGCCACCAGGAGGTCACCACCTACGAGGCTCTGCCCAGCGTCGCTCACCCCTCAGACCACATCGCCCTGATCTGTGACCTGCGCTGGAACCCCTGACCTCTGACTTCTTGAACCAAATACTAGAGAACCAGGCTTCTCCCTCAAACACACCCTGACTTTGGATTTTCTTAATACTAGAATAAAGTCTGAGCATGGAGATGTGATCCTGCAGGTTAACTGTAAACAAAATGAAATACTTGTTTTAAATTACAATATGAAATGTACTGTTAATATTGTAATATTTACAGTACAATAAATAATACATTTGAATCACTGATATTCAGTGTTTGAGCTGAAATGCTGCACATTGTTTGTTATTTTTATTAAATGTAATTACTATTTGGCTGAAACACTTGACCGAACACAGGTTGCTGGTTCATATGTGGTTAATAATTATTGTTAACACGAGTTAATATTAGAAACAGAAGTAATGTTTTTACTGCAGGTTTTTTCTCACTCTCTAAAATGGCTGTGCCACATCTTAGTTCACATGGACTCTTAATGGTTTCGAGACCCAATGATATGGTAAAGAAATACATATATTATTAACTTATTCAGTTATTTATTATTACTTTTACTTTTATTTTGGCCAAACAAGTTGATCAGTGAGTGGTGCTTAACGTTGTTTATTTTATTTGAAATAAAGTCTTGCTCAAAGCATTGGTCATATTATTGGCTCTGCTTTTGATTTGTACATTTTCAACAACACTTAAAGCCAACAAAAGAGGTTGTAAATGTTTCTGTGACTTCTTTTGGTAAGAAATAGAAACAATTAAGTCAAACATTCTGACCGAGAAAAACTTTAACCAAAGTGATTTGAAAGTTGATGTTAAAGTGGACGACGGACCGAAATATTTGTATGCTTGTTTGAGACAAGCGAGACCGACGCAGACCTGCGCAATTGCGATCAACGTCTTGCTAGTGCGTTGCATGATGGTTAGTCATTTTGTCCGACTTGCTCTGGAGGCTCGCCTACATGAGACGTTGAAATCTCGCGGGACAAAGACGCCCGCAGCCTTGAGAGCGAGGCGCGGCGGCGCAGTTCCTCTCCACGGGCTGCGGAAGCGAAATGCTTGATGGGAAACGTCTCGCTGGTATCTCGAGCTGAGCGCTCATTGGTGGTTTTTACCCCGTGCTGCTGATGAAACTCTCCAATTGGCTCGGCAAAAGTTTGTTGTTGTTTTGTGTCCGTTTTACGTCGCCACTTCCATTCACATTTTTCATCATTGTTCCACAATGTTTATCATCATGAAATTAATATCTATATATTTTATACTATACTTGCACTGCTTACCGTTTTCATACTTTATATATCTTAGCATATTCATACACTGTTCATACTGCTCACAGGCTGCTCAAGCCCGCCTTAACCTGCAATCAGGCCCTGGGGCTGATAGTTTTTGTAGGCCCCCTATTTAAACAACAAATCAAAGTCATTTATAGCCTCGGCAGGCTCTGTGATCGCACTTCTCCACTCTGCTCCACGCGCGCCTGGTCCTCTCCTCCAGATGAGTGACGTATCGGGCCTCCCTCATGTATCTGTCCAGTTGCCGTTGGCTCCCCTCCACGTAGCAAGTCCTCGTCGTCCTCCCATCTCCTCCAACAGATAATGTCCCTCCTGTCTGTTTTTCCTCTCCCGCTACTCCAGCTACTCCATCGCTATCAGAACCAGACGGCCTACTTGGCTCCGAGGCCCCGCGGCCGGCACTGCTGCCGCTCGGACAGAACTCATCTGTCCTTCCTCCTCATCCTGGCCTACAGGTTTAAAATAACCTGTCAGCTTCGGCATGTTTTGTAATAGCTGCTTGTCTCGAAACTCCTTTTCCCTCAACAATTTCCTTTTCCGAGCGCCACTCTCAAACTTTTTCTTCTCCGACATTTTCTCCTAAACAACCTTCATCTGTCACTCAATCACTCGCAATTTGAACAAGTCACATGTGAAACATATTCTCATTCTGATTGGCTGTTAAGTGGTGCCCACTGACTGTTACATCATTTTTGAGAAAAATCTCTGGAATCCATCGATCTGATTGATTAGCGGAGCAAATGATCAAAATAGTATGGAGGGAAGATATTTTCGTTTGGATTATATTACTGTTCTGGGGGAAGCTCACGAGTGTGTGTGTGTGTGTGTGTGTGTGTGTGTGTGTGTGTGTGTGTGTGTGTGTATACGTGTGTGTGTTTGTGTCATTTTGCGTTTGTGTGTATTGTGTTTGTTTCCTGGGGAAAACACTCACGAGAAACACCGGCTGTTGTTGTGCCTGCTGTGACGTCAAGTTACTCAGTTCTCCGCTTGTAATTATGCCGTTACAAGATTCAAAGTTGTATTTATCATCTGAATTTGCCGAAACAAGTTTGATATTCTGAAAGCCAAGACTTTTTTTATTTGAAATCAGATGAAAACAAACTGTAACGGACCCTGCCGTGTTATCTATGATTACTATACACCTTACATTAATAATTTCAGCCGGAGGGAGGGGGAGCGGCGCTGTGGAAGTGCAGGGTGGTGAGTGAGAGCTGTCATCTTCCCTTTACAAGCTTCAAAAATGTATTTATCGTGTGATTTTGGAAATAAAACTTGCATATTCTGAAAGCCAAGACCTTGTCTATTTAAAAAAAATTAAAAACACCCGAAAAAAAAAAATATATTTGATTTTTTTTTTTTTTTTATTGGCTCATGATAGGCCCCCGATCTCCGTAGGCCCCTGGGATTCAGCCCAGGTCAGCCCGTGCATTAAGGCGGCCCTGAGGCTGCTGTGTATATCTATTCATACCCCTCCTCACTGTTTATTCATCATTCAATTAATTCTATATTTTATTCTGTAGATTGTGTACATTACTTTTCACTTTACTGCTTGTTGCACTCCTGGTTAGAAAACTACATTTTGTTGTCTCAGTACCTGTAATATGTGCAATAACAATAAAGTTGAATCTAATCTTGAGCAGGAACAAATGTATTTACTTAGTACATATCTGACATTAACGATTAAACACATTTGTGCATTCTTTATAAATGCAAACCGAGTCAAGCCGACTCCGGAGGCGGCAGTATGCACCTTAAAGTTGTTTGCAATCCCCCAAAAAACCGAGAGAAGAAGAAGATGAAGAAGCCGACTCCGAGCTGTCCGACTTCAGGCGAGCATTTTGAGACCTCCCCCGGCTGCGATCGGCTATTCTCGTCTACTTTCTAGGCGAGCCGCAGCTCGTCTCAAACAAGCCTACTGGCTGTCAGCTGTCAAACTCCAGTGCAGTGGCGTCACCTTCCATCGCCACGCTGTTTTTCTCTCATTGGTCAGAAGTAGGGAAGAGGCGGGGATTAGTGTTTAGAACAAACCATTGTGTCGTATGTGGGGGTCCAAACTAAAAGTGTAAATAAAAGTTACGCTATAGGTGGGACAGTTTTGACGACATTTCATCAAGAAACAATAATTCAAAAGTATTTAAACATCTATCCCGTTTTGCTTTCTAGTATAAAAACTAGCATTTATTTTCAGTTAATACGCCAATGGTTTTTAACACACCCCTGTCAGTGAAAGAGGCGAGAGGCAGGGCGTCATGTGTGGTCAAGTTCCCCAGAGTCATCCAGCAAACCGGACACCGGTTGATTTATCTTATAAAATAAAAATAATAAACACTTATCTCACTGCAGGTTCCAGCCAGGTAAAGTATTATTTAAATATTGATGAGAGTAACACCTACGTCACTTCCGGGCGAAAATTACGGCCCGACCACTTTTTGGGGAAAACAACGCTGTCATTTGAATGGCAGTCAATACAAATTCTGAAGTTTTTGCCAATCCGATCAGAAATTTAAGAAAACCATGGATTTTTGGATCTTCAAAGAGCCCGATTACGATGGCCAGACAGGCAAACAATTACATTAAATAATTAGAAATCGACGATTGGGCTCGATATATGGTTGCACCGGCTGCACCGTCGATAGTTACGCCACTGCTCTCATCTATAGGCCTACTTACACACTGATATTAATAATTGGTTAATTATGGATGGAGGTTTCATTGGTTTTAGGTCTGACTTTCTTATATAATATGCGCATTGTATTTTATTTGTAATGTTATTATTTGGCTCGAAAATGGTGGAATGAGCTCCCCATTGACATCAGGACAGCAGATAGCTTACACACCTTCCGGCGCAGACTGAAAACTCATCCCTTTCGACTCCACTTCGAGCGATAGAACTATTAACAGAGCACTTATATACTAATAAAGGACTGGCTTACCTAAAGCCAGTTGAGTAGCACTTGAAATGTTTTTGCTCTATGAAACCTGATGTACTTTATGATTCTGTTTTCTTCAAGTTTGTATTTTGTTGGTCGAACGCACTTATTGTAAGTCGCTTTGGATAAAAGAGTCAGCTAAATGCAATGTAATGTATTTGCATAGTAGGCTACTCAATACTCAATGTGACAGCCTTATTTATAAAGTATACAAATAATACTGTTCGGACTGAGAGACTGTATAACGAGTTTATAAAAGGAAAATATCAAAAGACTCAATAAAGAATCATTATAAAAAAACGTACTGAAAAAATAATTTTATTTTGAAACCTTGCACCGGATGTTTGACTTATCACGCTTTCAGAATTGACGCTCAACTGCTTGACCGGAAACTAAACAAGGAATTCGGATTAAAACGATTTTACGTGTCATTCTCAGAGTCTCAAACCTCCTGGACACTTTTGGTGAACACAATCCCAGTAAGTAGCTTTTCATTGTCTTTATTCACTTTGCCACAGACTGAGGACAGGAGCATTTTGCTTACTTCTCTTGTTAACAGTCGGCTTGTCGTTTTAAAAGCTTTAAATCAAGTAATCAGTTAGCTTAGCTGAGCTAACATGGCTTAGTTTAAATCACTGTGAGTTCATTTGTGTTATTAAACAAGAGCACAGTTTGTATTTATCTCACAAATCTATAGTTAATATTAAGAATACCAGCGTCCATTCATAAATGATCACAATATTACAGTAGGGAAATCACTTTATCCCTGTGTGGCTAAAAAGGCTAATTTAGCTGCTGGTGATGAAAGTAATAGTTGTTTTGAACACCTGTATGTGGCTGTTTGGTTGATTAAATAAGACACTAACATAAGACTACAGCCAGACTTCCTTATGAATGAAGTCTTTATCTGTGGTGACAGTTCATTAGGAGACGGTGACGGTTCTTTATGTCATGGGACTTTTGAACGAGTCATTCATACCTGTCAAACACGCTAACCAAACCACCCTAAAGTGACGACGCTGAAGTTGGCTTCCGATTCAGAGCATCCGATTCGGCAGTTAAGGGGAAAGTTAAGGGACATTTAATTTACAGCGCTGAGCGAACAATCCTCCGTGTTTGAACCTCTTAAATCGCTGCATAGCCGATTTATTTGGACTGGATCATCCCAGAGAGTCTAAAGATTCTTTATAACCCAGTTTGAGATTTGTGAAACCTTTATTCTATTTGTGAAAATACAAAAAGTGAGATTTCAGTGCTTTTTTCACATGTAGACCACATTAGACCAGGTCCTGATCTAAAACCACTAGACCTACACTCATCAAATCTGGACTGGATTATCCCAGAGAGGCTAAAGATTCTTTTTAACCCAGTTTGAGATTTGTGAAACCTTTATTCTATTTGTGAAAAAATTAGGGCTGTCAGTCGATTAAAATATTTAATCGCAAATTAATCGCACATTTTTGATCTGTTCTAAATGTACCTTAGAGGAATATTTTTCAAGTTTTTAATACTCTTATCAACATATGAGTGGACAAATATGCTTTATGCACATGTTTATTATCATTTGAACAATGACAACAATTCTCATGAATATTAAACACAACAACCTCTGAACATTACAAATATTCGCCTCAATTCAACCTGGAACCTCTCATACAATAATACAATACAAAGTGTGTGTGTGTGTCTGTGCGTGTGTGTGTGTTTGTGTGATGGATCGTTGGAGCTATGTGCAACTCAAGGCATATGCTCGAACGGGAGCTGCCTGGACGCTGCGATCATGTTGCGCACTATCCGTGCTGAGTGTGCTGACTTTTCGTACATTGTCCCACTGTCTGGCTTCCTGCATAAAGTCAAGTGCTCGGCGCAGTTGTCGGCGAAATGTCACTCCTCTGTTTTCATTGAAACAGCTCCTTATATCCGTTAGCGCAGCTAGCTAGCACCAGATGCTAACAACAACAATACACGTAAGGTCTCTCCCGGTCCTCCCCATGGCCAGTCGGTGCCTGCCGGTGAGCGTGGAAGTGTGGTCTGCCACAAGCGGGCGGCAGGAGCGGGGCTGTCAGCATCAGCTTGTAGATGGTATTTTAAACTCGATGCGCTCTGAAACTACGGGGTGGCCGAGGACAAAAAATGCACATACGTTAATCGCGTTAAATTATGGCGTTAATTTTTTTTTGCGTTATTAACGCGTTAACTTGACAGCCCTAGAAAAAATACAAACAAGGGAGATTTTGCTGCTCTTTAACAAAAAATCTAGACCACATTAGACCAGGCCCTGATCTAAAACCACCATACCTAGACTCATCAAATCTGGACTGGATTATCCCAGAGGGTCTAAAGATTCTTTATAACCCAGTTTGAGATTTGTGAAACCTTAATTCTATTTGTGAAAATACAAAAAGTGAGATTTCAGTGCTTTTTTCACATGTAGACCACATTAGACCAGGTCCTGATCTAAAACCACTAGACCTAGACTAGACTAGGAGGAGCATACACTTATTTTTATTTATTTATTCATTTGTTTAACAGGGACAGTGCACATTAATTAACATTCCTGTCAATGTGCCAGAGTTAGCCAAGAGGCTATTTTTCATCTGTTGTCCCTGGACAGATTTTATAAGTGAACCTAAAACAAATTTCATTTAAACAAGTAAATACAATCAAATTAAAACATGCAACATACATTACTGGAATACTTAAATAAATAAAAAGACAGAACAATAAAACAAAACAAAAGAACATGTTGTGACGACCCCTCCCCCCTTCTGCCTGTCTGTGCTCCCTGCCTTGCTGTCCTCTGGCAGGTACTGGGAGTGTCGTCCTGTTTGTGCCCGCCCATCTAGAGGCGGAGCCTCAAGAAGGCATAAAGGCTTGCCCAGCTGGGAGGTTCATTTTCTGATCCTGATCCTGGCCTGCTGCAGCAACCTCAGCCTTCCACCTGTGTTTGTATTTTCACAAATAGAATAAAGGTTTCACAAATCTGAAACTGTGTTATAAAGAATCTTTAGACCCTCTGGAATAATCCAGTCCAGATTTGATGAGTGTAGGTCTAGTAGTTTTAGATCAGGACCTGGTCTAATGTGGTCTACATGTAAAAAAAGCACTGAAATCTCACTTTTTGTATTTTCACAAATAGAATAAAGGTTTCACAAATCTCAAACTGGGTTATAAAGAATCTTTAGACTCTCTGGGATAATCCAGTCCAAATAAATCGGCTATGCAGCGATTTAAGAGGTTCAAACACGGAGGATTGTTCGCTCAGCGCTGTAAATTAAATGTCCCTTAACTTTCCCCATAACTGCCGAATCGGATGCTCTGAATCGGAAGCCAACTTCAGCGTCGTCCTAAAGTGGGTAATGGTTTATGTTGCATGCATGATCGTATGCATGTAAAGCAGGGGTGTCCAAACGTATTTGGGTTGCCAACTCTCACGCATCTGGCGTGTGACACACGCTTTCACTCTCAATCTCACACTGCCCAAACTATTCTCACGCCAAAAACAAGAATACCGAAGACTAGAAACGGTTTTGAAAACTTTTGTCAGGTAGTGATCGTCTTTGATAATGTCTTCTGGCCAATCAGAATCAAGATAACGGCGTGGTGTTGTTCCAGGAAGTCCCGACGGAGAATACTTTTGCTGTAGTACATCTCTATATACATCGATACAACATTACGTGTTGATAGAAATCAACACGTAATGAAATAAGACCCCACGGTTTGATGATTGGTAGGTGCAGGGATGTGCACAGGTACGGGCTAATGTTGCCAGGGCAACGGCCCGTTTGGCCTTTTTGGCTGACCTGCCCCTCTGGGGAGAGCGAGAGTTTATTTTTATTTTTTCTGTTGTGGCCGAATCAACATGATCGAGGATCTCATTGTTTGACCTTAAGGGATATAGGCCTACACTGTGGCCATAAAGCAACTGCTCCATTATCTGTATCAAAAACTGTTTGCGCTCATCCTAATTTTCGGCCTTGATGTAACAACATTCATAATTAAGTCAAGGTAACACCCTTTTGACCCCGGTTACACTTTTCATTTGCCCTGTACGATGGACGCTTTAAGTGATGAAAGTGGGGGGTGTTGGCTTATCAGGCGCCCGCAGCTCACAGCCAAAGTGGGTGTGGGATCGAGCGAGAGAGATAAATGCTATTTATGTAAACAAATATTTCCAAGGCACTCTTTTATAATTATTGGGATAAACAGGTTTGAAATCATTTCAATGTATACTATAGGACAGAAAACCAAAAATATCGTTTAAAACTTGAGAGATACAAAAATATGCATAAATAAACGTTAACTAGGTAAAATAAGATATGAATGAACAACAAAAATAAAATAAGTTGCATTTATTTGCTATTGGTTATGTTCACATACTTATTTGATTATTAAAATGTAAACCAATCTTTTTCATATGGGTGTTTAGAGTTGTACCCCTAGGTCAAGTCTCTAGTAATGTGTGCTCAAAGTGCACCCGATTGAAGCATTTTACTTTAAATGTTCAAACATTTCTTCCTGGGGGGGCATACCCCCGGTCCCTCCTAGAGGATGTGACGTCCACACCCCAATTCAAACATATACCGAATACATTTGAAGCCTTTTTGATGTATATTACCAACATGTCAATACGTTTCTGTTTTTGTAGTATATTGGTCTTTTGTAGAGATTTTTCATTTATTCTTTATATATTCTATTTTGTATTCCTTGGGTACTTTTAGCTTTTCTATTGTACGATTGAAGTAAATGTGGGAAGCGTTTAACAACAGCCATTTACTTCAAAGATAGTTCGCAATGTTATTCTTATTTTTGTTAATCCTGGAAGAATGCCAGAAAAAAAGACATTTTCTTCAAGAATACAAAAAAACATGACATTAGTAATTGTGAAAACAAATTAAATAAGTTGTTAGGTTAAGTCAGGGCCGGTTTTTGGCATAGGCGACATAGGTGGTCGCCTAGGGTGCCAGATCTGGGGGGGGCGCTGCGCTGGCAGCTCTGGGAGGGAAAAAAACATTTTGACTGTTTGCGCTCATCCTAATTTTCGGCCTTGATGTAACAGCATTCATAATTAAGTCAAGGTAATACCCTTTTCACCCCGGTTACACTTTTCATTTGCCCTGTACGAGGGGCGCTGTAATTGATGAAAGTGGGGGGTGTTGGCTTATCAGGCGTCCGCAGCTCACAGCCAAAGTGGGTGTGGGATCGAGCAAGAGAGATAAATGCAATTTATGTAAACAAATATTTCCAAGGCACTCTTTTATAATTATTGGGGTAAACAGGTTTGAAATCATTTCAATGTATACTATAGGACAGAAAACCAAAAATATCGTTTAAAACTTGAGAGATACAAAAATATGCATAAATAAACGTTAACTAGGTAAAATAAGATATGAATGAACAACAAAAATAAAATAAGTTGCATTTATTTGCTATTGGTTATGTTCACATACTTATTTGATTATTAAAATGTAAACCAATCTTTTTCATATGGGTGTTTTACGGCCCGTCCACACAGCAGCGTGCGTTGAAAGCTTCACCATTCACTTTGAATGGGGTGACGTCACTTTGCTGGCGTGGCTCGCTGCAAAAGTTGAGCAATGTTCAAGTTTTGAAGCCACGGCAGAAGCGTCAGCCAATCGAATCATATGCCAGTACAAGCTCTAGCCAATCAAACCGCTGCTTGTATGTCAGGGGCGGGAGATTCATGTGGTCTCTAGTAATGTGTGCTCTAAGTGCACCAGATTGAAGCATTTTACTTTAAATGTTCAAACATTTCTTCCCGGGGGGGCATACCCCCGGACCCCCCTAGAGGATGTGATGTCCTCACCCCAATTAAAACATGTTCAAATAATACTGAATACATTTGAAGCCTTTGATGTATATGACTTATGTCAATACGTTTCTGTTTTTGTAGTGCATTGGTCTTTTGTAGACATTTTTCATTTATTTTTTATATATTCTATTGTGTATTCCTTGGATACTTTTATTTGTTCTACTGAACGATTTTCTGGCAGGGGGGGGCGCCAGCTAAAATCTTGCCTAGGGCAGCAAATTGGTTAGAACCGGCCCTGATGGTGTAGGAAACGGGCTCCGTGTTACAAGACGGGTCGGGGGTTTGGCGGTACCACTGCAGACTCTCTGCACACACACACACACACACCGCTGCAGACTCTCTGCACGAAGGAGCCACGGTGCTGCAGCTCCTGATCGGAGCAGAGACACACGTTCACTAAGCGGAAAAACGATATCCTGTCACAGAGATCTGCTATTTTAAATTTTAAAGTCAACACATATCGACCCTAAATAAAGTCTATATTAAGAACGAGAGATGTTTTGACATTATGGCTTAAACAAATGACAAATGAGCGAGGGCGATGACGTCAGAGCATCGTCCGAGCCCCGGACAGCCCTGGACAGCCCCGGCCCAATTTAACCCCTAGTTAGAGGCCCTATTTTATCAGTATGTCTGGACTGCACAGCAGTTACAATGGTCAAACTACATTAGAACAGAATTGTCCCCATTTTGTCTTTAATGGTTACTAACATTTAGAACAGAATTGTCCCCATTTTGTCTTTAATAGTTACTAACATTAGATATTTTAATGAGATATGGACCGCAAAAACAAAAAAGGCCCTTTTTCCAGTTTAGAGCAATAGCCCCTCCAAATGTCTGTGCACGTCCCTGGATAGGTGTGTGGGCTGTCTTTCATTTTGACACACAGAACAATGGGGCCTATCCACCCTTATCCACAATGTAAAGTAATTCACACAGCCTCTTCCCTCTTCTCTCTGTGAGGAGCAGCAGGTTCAGCTTTCAGAACAAAGTAACAAAAAACTAAAATGGCATTAATTTTTTTAATATGTCGTGTAGTAATAGATTTATTTATTTTTCTTCTCAAGAGAGTACCAGAATGTGTATTTTATGTTAGTAGCCTATTTCAAAACTAAAACAAAAAAAATCTCCTGGGGGAGAATCCCCCCAGACCCCCCTGCAGGGGTTGGGTTTTCAGCATGGCAACTCTTTCACCTGTGGGGAAATTGCAGGATTGGCTCCAGGTCGCCCTTTTTATTTACTACAAGACAAATGTGCCTTTTTATTTCATACAGTTCAATTTGGATTGAGACAGGGAAATAATCTAAACCTCACGCGTGGCGTTTCACTGTCAAGGGGAGCGGGTATGTAATTACATTGCAAATACTGACTTGAGCCCCACCACTGTATGGGGTTAGCCCTACCATAGATTACCCAACAAAAATACTCTCTCGCAACTGCCGACCCGTATTGCGCATGCTCAGATCTAAGAACCAGTAGAAATGATAAAAAAGTAAAAGTCTGCTGCTTATTGTTCTACTAGGCCAAAATAGAGTCAAAGAGTATGAGAGTGAGAGTGTGTTAATTAATATGTTTGGCAGTTTGGAGTAAGTCTGTAGATTTGTTTGTGTGGTGTGTGTGGTGTGGTGTGTGTGTGTGTGTGTGTGTGTGTGGTGTGTGTGTGTGTGTGTGTGTGTGTGTGTGTGTGTGTGTGTGGTGTGTGTGTGTGTGTGATGTGTGTGTGTGTGTGTGTGTGTGTGTGTGTGGTGTGTTGTGTGTGTGTGTGTGTGTGTGTGTGTGTGTGTGTGTGTGTGTGTGTGTGTGTGTGTGTGTGTGTGTGTGTGTGTGTGTGTGTGGTGTGTGTGTGTGTGTGTGTGTGTGTGTGTGTGTGTGTGTGTGTGTGGTGTGTGTGTGTGGTGTGTGTGTGTGTGCTGTGTGTGTGTGTGGTGTGTGTGTGTGTGTGTGTGTGTGTGTGTGTGTGTGTGTGTGTGTGTGTGTGTGTGTGTGTGTGTGTGTGTGTGTGTGTGTGTGTGTGTGTGTGTGTGTGTGTGTGTGTGTGTGTGTGTGTGTGTGTGTGTGTGTGTGTGTGTGTGTGTGTGTGTGTGTGTGTGTGTGTGTGTGTGTGTCATATATAGCTCTCACGATAATTAATTTTGTTGGATACATTTTCTCGGAAATTATTGCGATAAACGATAATATTGCCAGCACCGTTGTATGACCATTTTAGACCACTGACATAATGATAATATATAATAATAATTCAAGTACATCCTTTCAAACTGCTAGTCACATCCTCATGTAAATGGCAATTTATCGAGTTCATTTTTATTTATCGTACGATAAGTCAATTAATTGCTTATCGCGACAGGCACATAATAAAACAGTGGAAACAAACATGTGTTTGACTTTCATTAGTGAATGAAACTATGTGCCTTTTATAGTCTGTGTCCAATATTGAGTATTTGTATATATTGTATATATATCCTATATATAGGCTATGCTAAGGTCTTGCTGCTGACACGATAGCAGTCATTTCGTGCGCATATGTGTAATTAAACCCATGATATCAAAATCTCACTCCAGCCAGGTACCCAAAGTTGGCAACCCTGGTTTCACCAAGGGCCACATACAGACAAATATACGAAAGTCTGGGCCCCTCACTAGAGCTGAGGTATATTGCCTCACAAGTTAAGTTATGAGTTAGCTAAATCAATCAAATATAGGTACATTATGCTTGATACTTGAATATGCTTTAAGAAACAAACAGGCTACATCACAGCTTTCCGTAGGGTTTCATTTATTATGTTTGAAAAAGTATTAGCAGCTCATGTCTTAAAACAGAAGCCTCATATTGCTTAACATAAGGGGAAATAGGAAGGGTATATTTCAAGCTTACTATGTTAATAAGTCATTGGGCTTTTTTATCAACCTTTTTTATTGACTGAATTTATTTGAAAAGTGAGCTTATTAACACATATCTATTTAATAAGTGCAACATAAGACAAGCACAAGTTTCATGTGTGGGACATATTCCATTATACTGTAGAATTTGCAACTAGTCTTTTCAAAATGGACAACGGGCCACAGTTGGTCCCCGGGCCGTAGTTTGGACACCCCTGATGTAAAGGGTATTCTGGCTGAAAAAGGTGCAAATATGTCATCTCAGTATCCCCTCTCTTAGGCCAGACTTTGAACGCGTCTTTTCATGAACTTACTGATGGGTTCCAGACCAGAGGACAACTCTGAATAAATGAGTGAAGAAAGACAACACTAATGCACCATAGGGGGGCTGCATGTGTCGCCCTGCTACAAGCACAGAGTGATAAAGCCATTCGAGGATTCCAATGGAAAACAGTGTATCTGGGAGCATACTCTGTTGGGAGACCCTTACTAAAGTCTGTTATCACAGTGAGTCAATGTAGCCCCACCTAGCTCCACTGTGTCAACATGTCTTATTGACTTTGAGCAACAGTTAGTTGTCAACTGACTTTTTTGCTGTTCTGAAGGTATTTCTGAAATAGAAGAAAAAGATGTTTCAAACTATCAGAGTGAACATGTTGCATCTGTTGCACAATACAAGCCGTTCCACCCTGACATGACCCATGCTCTGTTTGTAAAACACAAACAAAATATGACCTTTTTCTCCTAAATTGGGAGTAAAATTGAATTCTGAGTGGCATTAAAACATCTTAAATATAAACTGTAGAAAACATGTATAATGACCAAGTGGGTAGGGGAACATAATAAAGCAGCTAGAACAGTATGTTCAATTCAGAAAAGTACAGTACTGTATTGCAGCCTTTACAACAACGGTCTAATATCACGATATCGATGGATAACCATTTACTCCTCTCCTCTGTCCTCCTCAGGCTGGTTGCTGTGCGTTGATGAGCTGTGGTCACCTTGGTAGCTGTTGCTAACGGCAGAAGCATGAAGGCTTTGATCCTGGTCGGAGGTTACGGGACGCGACTGAGACCGCTCACCCTCAGCGTCCCAAAACCTCTGGTGGACTTCTGCAACAAACCAATCCTGCTGCACCAGCTGGAGGCATTGGTGAAGGTGAGGAGGAAGAGGAGGAGGAGGACTTCTTATTTGTTGACCTCCATACTTTTAGATGAATTATAACCCAGCCCTAATTAAACATAAATACCTTTTAGAAAAAAAGCTTATGTTATTGTGTTGGCTGGACTCCATCTTATAATCATTTTGTTGCTGATGTGTTGTGTGTGTGTAGGCGGGGGTGGACCATGTGATTCTGGCGGTGAGCTACATGTCGGAGCTGCTGGAGAGAGAGATGAGAGTCCAGGAGGAGAGAGTACGTCCCTTTTCTGTCTCTGAATTAGAATGAAAGGAAAGGATACAGAAATGCTCATTGTTCTCCATCTACAGAATCCTGAATGTTTTTTTGTTTTCTCTTCAGCTTGGGATTCGTATCTCTCTGTCTCATGAGAAGGAGCCTCTGGGCACAGGTGAGTTCCTCCTCTCTGCAGACAGGAAACTGTCGATGCAACACAGCAAAGTGCATTGTAAAAGTGTCCAGTGATTTGAAACGGTGCAAGTCTGCAGAAGCTGTTATATCTGCATCATACAAAGATTTGTTCTGAAGTCAGCGGTAAACGATACTAAGCTGCAATATCTCTTAGCACAATACTTACCTCAGAATTGTATTTCTACACATATTTTGCCTTTAAAAGAAAATACTGGGGTCCTGTGATTTGGATATTACACTAGTCAACATTGCAATATCCATTACATTTGGGATTCATTGTGCACACTTAACTAACTTCTTCAACCTGAATAATATTTCAATTGTTTTGTATCCAAGTGACCGATGGGAAGGCTGGGCATTAAGCTTTGCTGCTTTCAGACACTAGGTTTCCACTTGATGTAGTGTAAGATCCATTGTAGTGGCCAAAATCATAGAAAAGTCAAACAGAAAATGAACTGCCGTCAAGGCACCAGATAGCGAATCTTACGCAGGGGGAAAATGATCCAAGTCCAGGCAAGAGTCGTTTTGTTCCATTTATTTCCACGTTCCAATATTCACCAAACAAAAGTACAATGACAAGGGTTTCTTATTTCCTTTCCTGAAACCTTTCCTATGGCTTTCTTTGTTTAATCCTGCTCGAATCACCCTGGTAAAAAAACATGTCTACTAGTGCTCTGCTCACCACCACCCGTCTCCAATATATACAATTGCACCAGGTGCCCAAATCACACAATTCAACCGCGAAAACGTCACTAAATTGTATAAAAATGAGAAATGAACACGTGTGTGTCTGTTTTCAGCCGGCCCCCTGGCGTTGGCTCGAGAGCTTCTGAACATCGACAACGAGCCGTTCTTCGTCCTGAACTCAGACGTTATCTGTGACTTTCCGTTCAAAGACCTGCTGCAGTTCCACAGCAACCACGGCAAGGAGGGGACCATCGTGGTGAGTTACCACTGCTCAAAGGGTTTTTCAGACTCCATCCAGACTACAGGTTGATCAGTCAGTTTAGCTCTTTTTAGATGAAAGTTGACGATATGTGGTAAAACTTCAGTACGAAACATTTACGATAAGATATACTTTATTGTCCCCGTAAGGACATTTGTTCTGGACTCCGTCCTGCAGTTCTGCATACATGTACATATACAAACATAGTGGACATTAAGAGACGTACACATATCATCAGTCATACACCGTTTGAATAAACACAACACACAGACGCACATACTGACAATGGCCACCTACAGTAGTGAGGGAGACAAAAGACAATGGAGGATACTTTTATCCAGACTTATAATCAAAGAGTATATGGACAATTACAACGTCTTATTGTTGTGTTCATCATATCATATTTATTCCTAAAAAAAAAATTGGAATGACATTTTGGAATGATGAATGATATAAGTGGCAACTTGAAAAAAAGTTGACTTCTTAAATTCAAAAGAGAAAAAGGTAAACATTTAATTAAATGACTTGTTGGTTAAATGTTTTACTGCCATCTAGTGGAATAATTCCGTACTGGGCGTTTCAGTAACTGAATTCAACACAGACGAACAGATATAAAGACTTCATTTCAGGGCATTTTAATAGAATGTGGTTTGTTTTCGCACAGATATCAAACAGACATTTTCAAGACATTACATGTAAGATACTGTGTTTTCCCAGTACAGTTGACGTGGTTTGTTTTTAAATGTGAAAAGTTCTACATTAAATTCATTTGAATGGTGGTTGATTCTAAGCTTAAATTGAATTGGGAACCTGTTTTGTGAAGTTTGTTTATGAATCAGTCTTGGCTCTGTGTGTGTAGGTGACGCGGGTGGAGGAGCCCTCTAAGTACGGCGTGGTGGTGTTTGAGGCGGACAGCGGCAGGATACACCGCTTTGTGGAGAAACCACAGGTCTTCGTCTCCAACAAGATCAACGCTGGCATCTACATCTTCAATCCCATCATGCTCAGCAGGATCCAGGTGACACACACACACACACACAAATACAAAAACAGGTGTGTTTGCACTGTGATTTTAACCTTACAATATTTCTACGTATTGATACGTTGATCTGGCATTTAATTATGTGTGTGTGTGTGTGTGCAGCTAAGACCAACATCTATAGAGAAAGAGATATTTCCTGTCATGGCAGAGGAGGGGCAGCTGTACACGATGGAGCTACAAGGTAACTACTACAGCACAAATCTTATATGCAATATTATCTAAACCAGTGGTTCTCAACTGGTCAGGCCTCGGGACCCACTTTTTACTTGGTCAATACATCGCGACCCAACATTTTGAAGCACTCAAATCTATTCAACAAAAAACGTGCTGTAATATATATATACGCTTTTCAGCATACAATATTAATAAAAGTGAAGTACAGTGCAAATATCCCTTATATCCCTTCACAGAACTAAAGTATGCTTTTAAAAAAGGTTTAATGAGATGATGGAATCAAAGCTGAACTATATAAAAAGGCACACATGCTGAAAACCCAACCCCAGCAGGGGGGTCTGGGGGGATTCTCCCCCACGAGATTTTTAGAAATACTAACATAACTATGCATTCTGGTACACTCTGAGAAGAAAATAAATAAATCTATTACTACGCGACATATTAATAATATGTTATGCCATTGTTTGTTTTTCACTTTGTTCTGACATCTTGCTGCGAGAAGAGTAAAGAGGAGATAGTCTGTGTGACTTACTTTAAATTGTGGGTAAGGGTAGATAGCTCCCATTGTTCTGTGACCTGTCAATCATCAAACCGGGGGTCATATTTCATTATGTGTTCATTTTTATCTGAAGTTGTACCCATGGATGTATAAAGAAGAGTTCTACCGCTAAATTATTCTCCGTGGGGACTTCCGGCAACAATCTTGATTCTGATTGGCCAGAAGACTCGAAAAAAACATCAGCAAAGATATTTTATTGAGAAGATGATCACTATGTGACAGAAGTTTTCAAAACCGTTTATGGTCTCCGGTACTTCCAGTCCAACGCCGACTGCTTGCACAGCGTTAGAAAATCGGGCCTTCAAAATAAAAGTTTGACTTTTTCCCCAAAAAATAAATTCCAATTTTTTTTTCTTCACTCACACATCAGCGACCCACTCGAAACGGGTCCGTGACCCACTTTTGGGTCGCGACCCACCAGTTGAGAACCACTGATCTAAACGATCATTAATATTTATTTTAATCATGGCTGCATCCAACAAACATTTTCTTTATCAGTTAACTTTTCTAACAGATGACACTTTTACATAAAAAAAGTTGCATACAATGTCGAAAGATATTGAAATGGGATCTCTTCAAAGTCTTGATTTGTCCCTCAACATTTGAAAAGGCAAAATCTTCACATCGTGATCATATATAACGGAGAAACCAGACAGTTTGATCGAGGATCATTATTTATTGTTTTATTGTCATCTGAAACGGAGCCAGATTTAAATTTATTGTTTTATACATAACATTTATTTATAAGTAGGTTTAAGGATTGTTCTTAGTTTTATAACGGTGCATATAAGAGCACAAAGATATTTATATAAGATAAACTATTGTTTAACCCTTAAAACAAATTAAATATGAATGCACAATAAATTATAAAATAGAAATGTCAAATTACTGAAAATAAATAAGTGCAGTAAATCAGAAATCAAATTGATGTTATTTCTGTAAGAAAGTACTTTAACATGTTACTGTGGGAGGTTGACCTGTGTGCTCCCTCCGGCCTCACAGCTCACTGCTCTGCCAGACGTAAGTGTTTGGGCTTTTCCTCACACCCAAATTCACGTAGTCTGTGGAGAGGAAACGCTTGTGGAGAAGCACCGATTCTCACCAAACATCAGGAACACAATGTGGGGATCAACACTGCTCTCTGGTTATTATTCAATCTTGGATCCTGTAGTCGTGTTTAGATGCATATATAATTGATCAGAATCTGTGGAAGGAATCTGGAATCGGTGCTTCTCCATACTTTATCCTTCTCTTTATCGACCAGCCTCCTTCCATGCTGTAGTCTGTGTCGCTGGCAGGTTGTAGTGGCTTTGTTTCTCTCAGGAAGCTTCATGAATCTGTGGAAAATTCAATTCAAGTTCAATTCTCCCAAAGTGTCCTTGGGAAAGACACTAAACTGGAAATTGTGAATGAGATCAGATGAAGAGCAGCTTGGTATGTGTAAATGTAGGCATGTAGTGCAAACAGGCGCTATAGATGCAAGTCCATTTACCAAAATTAGGGCAATATATTGATATAATATCGATATCGTGATATTGTAATATCTTTACATCGCATTTAATTCCCTGGTTTTAAAAGCTGCATTAGATTAAAGTAGAATTACATTTTCTTTTTTAATGTTTTGTTATTATTATCTATCAATCTATTTAATTGTGTACATATTTGTTTTTGAAAGAACCAAAAGTCAACCCTACTATATGGCGGAATATCAATATTGAGATATTTTGTCCAAAAATATGATTTTCTTCATATTTCCCAGCCCTAACCAAAAGCTGTCGCTGTTTGCTGTTGTTCATGTAACCATAGAAACATCACCTTGTTGCAATGGTTACTAACTGCTCTGTCTGTAGGTTTCTGGATGGACATCGGTCAGCCTAAAGACTTCCTCACAGGGATGTGTATGTACCTTCAGTCGCTACGGCAACAAGCTCCTGAGAGGCTACGCACGGGTCCCGGTTTCCTTGGCAACGTTCTTGTGGTGAGTTCTGCTGATGGCCGCCACATGATGTCAAATAAACACGGTTATAATTAGTGGTGCAGGAATGAGTCCTAGAGATCGGAAATAAGTTTTGCTAAAATGCATGAAATATGGTCTGTGGTTAACTCAAGCTGAAGAGATGACAACCCTTTGTTCTACAACATAGGTATGTTATAAGCATGTTGTATGTTTCACTGTTGGAGGAGTCTTGGTCTTCAGATGTACATTGCATCACTAGGCTGTAGCTGTTGTGCTCATGACTTTTAAGACAGTGAATCTTTGACTCCAGGACCCCACAGCGCAGATCGGGGAGAACTGCACCATCGGGCCGAACGTCACCATCGGTGCGGGGGTGGTGGTGGAGGACGGCGTGAGGATAAAGCGCTGCACGGTGATGAAGGGGGCGCGGGTCCGATCTCACTCCTGGCTGGAGAGCTGCATCGTTGGGTGGAGCTCCTCTGTGGGCCAGTGGGTGAGTACAGGACCGAGACCATAGGGAATTATATTATTACAAGTTATAGAAAGTTTAAAAACCTTTTTTAAGGTAATTTCATCTTTAACTGTGTTCATTGTGCAGACATTAAGAAATCATAAAGAACAACACTTCAGAATCAGACACAGGTTTATTACCAGGTGGGTTGACACGTACGAGGAATTTGACTAGGTGCATACATAAAAGTAAAACAACAATTAAAACATAGATAGAGAACTAGAAAAATAATAAAATATAAATATAACAGTATTTACATTGCAATGTAAAGGAATAAAATATGGAATAAAACAAAAAAGTAATAAGAAAAGAAAACAGATATTGTTGTACTCTTGTGTGCATTAATGTAATGCACACAAGAGTCTATGATGTGGCTGATGTTATGTGTCAGTGGGGGGGGGCGGGCGGGCCTTATTGATGAGTCCGGTAGCGGAGGGGAAGAAACCATCGGGAACCGATGAGTCAAAAAGTATTCTTAGAAAGTACAAAAAAATGGCAATACAAATGTAGCTGTTTTTGAAGTTTAGTTAACAGTAGATTTCAGAAGTCACATTTAAAGAGGCCCTATTTTTGCCTTTGGGGGTTTTCCCTTTCCTGTTTCCTTCACAGGAAAGGGCTTTCTGAACATTAAAGCATGGAGACATCAAACATGTTACAGTAGAAGCAAGAAATATGAACCTGAAAATGAGCAAAATATGTCCTCTTTAATCATTGTTTTCCATTTAGTAATGTAAAAGTCACCAAATCGGCAGGTCCGGACAAACTTCCTCCTCATTTTCTTAAATTAGCTGCAGACTTTATAGCTGAGCCGCTTACTTATCTTTTTAATTTATCTCTTTCCAACGATGAGATTCCTAACATATGGACATCTGCATATGTTCTTCCTTTACTGAAAGGAGGGGATCCCTCATCTGTTAATAATTATAGGCCAATTTCAAAATGATGTGTTGTAGCGAAGGTCCTTGAAAGGCTTCTCAGTGAACAACTTAAATTATTCTTGGACACAAATGATATTTTGTCAGAGCACCAATCCGGTTTTAGAAAACAACACAGCACAACAACTGCTGCTGGTTTTTAAATTATTTATCAGCGAGAACCCAATGTGTCCAATTTTCTGGGTCCTCTTCTTCCTTCCTCCCGATAGCAAAGGGTGTGCCACAAGGTTCCATATTAGGACCCATTCTTTTTTACCATATATGTAAATAATCTATATAATAATTTAGCAAATGCTTCTTACCATTTTGATGCAGATGATACTGTTATTTATTGTTCCTCCGCTTCTATAGAGCAAAGTCTAGATTTCCTCCAGTCTGCCTTTGATGTCATACAAACCCATTTATATCAACTAAAGTTGGTATTAAATGAAGAAAAATCCAAAGTGATGATATTTTCGAATGGCAAAAAGTTACCATCTATTCTACCCAAGATTTGTGCTGCTCAAGGGACTGACATTGAGAGGGTCACTACTTACACATATCTGGGATTTCTTATTGAACAGAACTTGTCTTTCAAGTTACACACGGAAAATGTTGTTTCAAAGCTAAAACTAAAATTAGGTTTCTTTTACAGGAATAAATCCTGTTTCTCTTTTCAGACAAGGAAACATTTGATATCTGCAACGTTTTTACCTGTATTAGATTATGGTGATCTGCTATACATGAATGCCTCCGACCAGTGCCTAAAGAGCTTGGATACATTTGCACATATATGTGTCAAAGAGAAAGTCTATATGGCCTGCGCTCCCAAGATTTGATTCAGATGCTGGTTCCTACAGTGAGAACAAAACTGGGTAAAACAGCTTTTGAATATGCTGCCCCCACAGCTTGGAACAATGTACAGAAGGAGCTGAAACTCTCAGATGTAATCACTATTGGGGAATTCAGGTCCATCTTAAAGGACAGGGAACACGACACCATTGGTAGATGTGAGTGCTCGTTTATCCTAAAATCGATTTAAATGTTGCCAGATTTGAATGATTTTTAATAGTTTGTTTTACTTCGCATATTGACTGGCTAATGTGCCATTTTATTTGTGTTTTACAGCTGTATTTGTCTGCCTGTCACGTCTGTGTTTTATCTGTAACTTCGTACATGCTGCCCCTCTTGGCCAGGTCACTCTTGGAAAAGAGATTTTAATCTCAATGAGTCTTTTACCTGGTTAAATAAAGGATATATATATATGTTTACTTAGTAAGAAGCCGTGTAATAAACAGGATACTATGCAGCAAGTGGGTCATCATAGGAAAAGTAACTTTGCATGGAATAATGACCGCTTTGTATTTAGATATGAATATATATTTAAGCAACAGCTCACGACAGGCCGTGGTATATATGTATATTATATCACAGCTAAGGGCTGTGGTTCAGCCCAACTGTATACAGTTTTTCTCAGACGCGGAGGGATACTGACTTGTTGTGAAAAGTAACTACAATTCTACCCGTGATATACGCTCATTATATCACGGCTAAGAACCAATCAGATTGCTTGATTTGACTTGTCCGTTTTATAAATATATTTATAAAACGGACACGTCAAATAAAAAATGTATTAACAGAAATCATTCTCAATCTCTTCTCATTATGGATATGTAGATATTTGATATTGCTTGTGAAAATATTTCTCTTTATTTTTTAGTAATCTTTCTATTTTTGATCCTTCTCTTACAAATGATTTCCCTATACTGTGTTTAGGTTTGCAGCACTGTGCACACAAACAAGTTCATTGTTTCTGTGAACCTACATGGCAATAAACCTGATTCTGATGTTATCGGAGGTTAAATGACTTCTGGGTAATTCTGTGTCGTCAGGTTCGTATGGAGAACGTGACGGTGCTGGGGGAGGATGTGATCGTGAACGACGAGCTTTACCTGAACGGTGCCAACGTGCTGCCTCACAAATCCATCAACGAGTCGGTCCCAGAGCCGCGGATCATCATGTAGCGGCAGGAGGAAGGGAAGACCAGCGCCTCTCTTTTTATACGAACTCGACTGACACCCAAACTGTGCCAGAGAGAAGGACGAGGGTGGAGGAAAGAAGAAGAAAGAGGAGGCAAAGGGGAAGAAGGTGTTTTTTCCCCCCCGTTCTGTTTATAATTTGGACTATTTTTAGCCCTGCTTGGCTGCACCGTCCATCAATAAGAAACAATGGCGTACGCACGATCTTGGACGATAATGTCCTGAATGTTGCCGAGGTTAAAGGTCTTGCGTGAGCACTGCTATAGAGAGCGGGAAATTCACACCAAACGCAGAGCGACATTTCAGTGGTCTGTTTATTACAATGGTACGAACCCAAAATAAAATATATTTACTTATGGCTAAACTGCAATAAAAAGATCCAAAGGTTACTGAAGTAATTCGATCATGACGCCGAACAAATCCACTCAAATCTTGTCTCTGCATTATATTTGTAAGCAATCGAACCACAGGAAACATTAGCTCTGCGTTTGATGTGGACGCTCCATTAGAGTTATGGGGCTGATATGTTTCTGTCAGAAGGTGGAGGGACTACTGTGAAGTGTATTCGGGGGGGGGGGGGTTAGTGAGCGATATGAACATTGCTGTTTTAGATTCACTCTGCATTAACATGTCCTGGGTGAACAGGCAATGAAGGATCACACTAAATGTGTCTCTGCTGTTGCAGCGACTGGAATCCTAACTGACATTGAGATTTCTAAATGCAGTATAAGTTATAGTTGATCAATTATTATAGTCTTTTTTTAAACTGGGTTATATGAGGTACCGATCCATAGTCAGTGTAACACCTACAGTACATGGCAGTAGCAGTTTGGAGAAACAAACACAACAGAGGAAAAAACAAGAGGCCTTCTTAAATAAAATCTATATCAGTTTTAAGTGAATGCTTAAAAATAATATTTTCAAAGCTTACATTTTCTGTCAGGGAACTGAAGCTGCAACCAGTCTCCAATCTGTACCTTGCAGGACATGGTAGCTGCAGGCCTGCTGCTGCTTCAATAGTTGAGTTTGTTGTTTTAAAATCAACCCTATCACATACCTACAGTACGTTGCATAATAACACAATGCTCTTGCTTTCTGTCAGCTAGGGTTGTAACGGCATAAGATTTTGAAAGTATAATATAGTCAAATATTACAGTATCTTATTCAAATGAGTTTTCTTATTATTTACAGTGACCCTTTAAAGAATAGGACCCGAATTACAGTATAAACCTGATACAAAAAAACATACCTCTGTTATGATGGATGAATTGTAAAGGCCTTTTTGCTGCATTCTGTTCATATACAGATGCTGTATGACTAACATGAATTAGTTCCTAATTTAACTAAAGCATGTAAGTGTACATTGTAGGAGCAAACACAATAGTGGTGGCTTAAAGCCCACCTCTGCTCCGCGCCGTCCTTTAGATGAGCCTGGTCAGATTTAATAAAAGAAGGAGTTTAAAACACCGGCATAAAAGTTATAACAATAATCTGATTTTAATACAGTAAAAAACACCAATACAAGTTTACAGAGTACTCCGGACTCCCAGTTCTACTGCTGTGCGATACAGGTATCGGGACCAGCCAGTCAGAAACAGGGGGCATTTTGCATGAAGAAACAACAGTATATATGGATATGTTTTGAGGTGTAGAATCACTTCTTATCTTCCACCGGACCCAACTCCTTTAATTTCCCAGGGAAGGTTTCACACAAGCTATTCTTTTAAAACAATCAAACATTATACACAGATATATTGGTGCTTGGGATTATTCCCAGAAAGAACCTTGAAAAAGAACGTGTGTGTGTGTTAGTGAGGGGAAGTGTGTGTGTGTGTGTGTGGTGTGTGTGTGTGTGTGTGTGTGTGTGTGTGTGTGTGTGTGTGTGTGCTGATAAGCGGAGGCGTATGTGTGTGTGTTGCTGATATCTGGGTTAAGGAGTTTATGTGTGTGTGCTGCATGGAGACAGGAGGTGTGTGTCAGGGTCTCTGGGTCATGGAGTGTAAGTAAGAAGGTTTATATATATATATATATATATAGGATTACTTTAAACAGTCCCAAATAATACATGTTCACTTCAATACAGTTCAAGATAATACCTGTTTACTTTAATACAGTTTAGAACAATATCTGGGTGCTTTAACATGCAAGCACTATTTTAGCATGTTCAATTCATAAATGAAAATGACATCAGCTTAATAATGTCCTAATGTGAACACATTGTGTATGTGTGTACCTTTTACTCACACACCTAAACGTAATTTCTTTTCAACACTGTCTATAAACAAATGTACACAATTTGATAAGTTGGTCAACTTTAATACCAAGATACCTTTATATACCCTTACAACCCTAGTGTCATCCTTGTTGTAAAAACTAGATTTTAACATTCAACAAGGACAAATCCATGTATCCCTGATATTCAAATAACTGGTTAAAGGTTTCTGAAGATCATCGTCACAACAGGCGGCCATGTTTGTGTCTTAAAGTCTCTCATTTGATCCTGAACACTGTCAGATCTGATCCCTGAACAGATTGCAGTTCTTTCAAGTTGTCTTTCTGTTTTTCTGTAGTGATGAACAGTTTAGGACACTGACCATGTAAAGACTTGAGTCTGAATGAATGAAGTAAACTCTTGTAATGAAATATTTTTTAAAGGAAATAATATAATCTGCTGATCACATCTCGTGTCATCCCTACCTTTCATTTTGTGTTAGTTTGACTAGTTTGAATTAGTATTCATTCTTATGCAAACAGTTGTTGTCCGTTGCTTTTTTATTATTCTTTTTTTATGACAAAAAAATACCATGTCAAAATGCAAGAAAAACAATAGCAGCACTTTTAGAACCAATACTGATAATACAAATATGAAGAATATGTAGGTGGAATGATGTGTAACATAAAGAGGTTATTTTTAAAGAGTGCATATGAACTCTGTCACAATATGAATACCTATATTATTTAAAAATAATTATAATGCTAATCAATGTAGTTAACTTTGTTAATTGTGAAGACACCATTAAGCAAAAAGTAAGTTGCATACTTAAAAATGTATATATGCAGACTAAAACACACACACACGTACACTACATAGACAAAAGTGTTGGGCCACCTACACGTTACACCTACAGGAGCTTTTATGACATCCCATTCCAAATTCTTAGGCATTAATATGAAGTTGTTCCCCCCTCTGCAGCTACAACAGCTTCCACTCTTCTGGGAAGGCTTTCTACAAGATTTTGGAGTGTGTCTGTGAATGCTTGCCCATTCATCAAGAAGAGCATTTGTGAGGTCAGACACTGATGTTGGACCAGAGGCTGGCTCTCTGTTCTAGTTCATCCCAAAGGTGTTCAATGGAGTTGAGGTCAAGGCTCTGTGCGGGCCAGTCAGGTTCTTCCACACCAAACTCATCCAACCAGGCCTTTATGCACCTTGCTTTGTGGGGCACAGTCAGTTTGGAACAGAAAAGGGCCTTCCCCAAGCTGTCCAAGATGACTTGGATTCTTGGCATTGTGTCTGGTGATGTAAGGCTTGATTCAGCTGCTCGGCCATGAAGCTCCCGGCGCACAGTTTGGTGCTGATATTAATGCCAGAGCTGGAACTCTGCAGAGCTTTGGCCACTTTTACGCACTATGCTCCTCAGCACAAAAAACGCAAAAATATATGCGAATAACATTTTTTTGATGAATGGCTGAATTTGCCTTACTTTGCCAATGTGAACTAACTTAGCACTCGAGAAGCAAGTGCACCTTCCTCTTGCTTTTTCATTAATACTTTTATGTTAATTCACCTGTAAAACATTAATGTGTTTATTTCTTATTGTTACCATGGTAACAATAAGTGCATTTGTTTTGAACTGCAATTTTTACACATCACATGGAATGTGATGACATCTTCAAAGCCAATTTGACTGTCAGAGGGAATGCTATGACATCAAAGCGATATTGCTGTCAGAGGGAATGCTATAAGACAACTTGGGAAACTAATTTTCTGTCATTAGGCAAAGGTTAGCACAAGTGACTTTGAGTAGCAAGACATCATTACATTTTTCATTATTTACTTGTTCAAATATTACTCTCATTAGTAGAAAGTTACAGGTTTGCACAAGTTCTTCCTCAATCTATTCAGTTCAACACAAACCAGAGACAAGCAAACATGGCAAAGGCAAATAACAGTGATTTGAGAAGCCGTGTGGATGCATATATTAATAAACATTGGGAGATGGACACCTGTAGAGAACTTGATTCCACCAGGACCGACCTTTTGTCGTGTAAGACAAGAGAAAGAGCCAAACTGAAAAGCAAGTATGAGACCCTGGGTGCAGTCCTTGATCGGCTGCGTGGCGTAGATGCAGTAAAAGGGTCAAGCTCTGGGCACCGAGATGAAATTGCAAGTCTGAAATTGAAGCTGAATGCGGCTGTGGGCAGGGGGAAAGACACTGCTGGAAACCTTGAATTCCAAATCAAATTAAATAAGGACTTAAAGTGCCAGCTTCAGAACATGTGTGCAAAGCAGTCCAAGACTAAACTGGACGAAGAGAAAACAAACGAGGTCCTCCGCAGTCAGTTGAAGGAGATCCAGGTAAGGTCAGCCTCCAGATTGAGCCTTGAATCTGCCATCAACATGGATCTCCAAAACAAGCTGGAGGTGGCCAGTAAACGGCTGGAGATGGCCAGTAAACAGCTGCAGCCGCCTCCAAGTCACATGAGCACACAGGCTCCTGAGGATCTGTCAGAGTTGCAGCTGAAGAAATCCCCAGGATTGCTGGATCTTTCCAACATCCTGTCTAGTGATGAGCAGGAAGAGCCAGAAACCGAAGCTACAAGAACAAATATCTGTTTCACAGCTGAGGAGGAGGTACCGCTCCAAGGAGCGGAGAAGGAAAATGCACCCGCTGCAGAGACCTCAGGGAGCAGCCTTGGAGGTCTCCCAAGGTTTTCAGATAGTGTAGAAGACCTTGCTGAAGACAAGTTTATCGAGAAAGTAAAACAGAGAATGGTTCACATCAAGATCAGCCAGCTGCGGGAAATAACAGAGGAAGCAGTGAATCAGGTGTGGGAGACCGTAGACCCCCTGCTGAGGAGCCAGCGGGTGCAGATGGACCAGCTGGTGCGTGCTGTGAAGCTGGCCCAGAAGCAGCTGGTGGACCAGCGTGAAGAGGACTCTAAAGTTCTGCTGCGGACGGAGAAGGACTGGGAGTGGAGGTTTCAACAGATCCTGACCAGGAGGTCCCCCAGAAGGAGTTGGGTTGTCCGCATGTTTGGATGCGGAAGTGAGGAGGATTGGGGACCCCACTATGGGTAATGGCCCCCTGTTGAAGTCCCTTGCATTAATGCATCAATATTAGTTTTAATCAACAACAAAAAGAAAATAAATAGTAATAATGAGAAAAATAATAGTAAAGGTAATAATAATAACAATAGTAATGATGATATTAATAACAACAATAGTAATGATAATAATAACAATAGTAACAATACAAATAATAATAACAATAGTAATGATGATAATCATTTGTATAAAAATACCAATAGTAATGATAGTGATAATAATATCAACTGTTTAAATAATGTAATACATATATTTATGTACATTTATTACATGGCTTAGTTGAATACTCGATTCTGATTGGTCAATTCAGAACACGTGACACGTTGTTAATCCAGAACAGACAGAGCGTTGTTAAGGACGCTCACATCTGCACAAAGAAGTCCGGTCGATTGAACTGTATACAGTTTGGCTGAAAAGCAAAGTGCATCAGGTGATCTGCCTGTCGGGTGTTCTTTTACCCACAATGACCACCTCGCTGCACATTATCCCTTACATATACAATTTCAATCATTATTATATTTGTAAATCATTTTTTTAAGACATATATATTTTATAAATATTAAATAATGCATTT